CCCCCCCCCCCCACCGGGGGCTTCGCCCCCTGGACCCCCTTTTCTCGTGGGGGGGTCGCCCCCCATACCCCCCCTCCGCCCCCAGACTTCATCACGCACTTATCGTATAAAATAGTATACGCAACACGTGCGGACAGCAGGCGGTATCACTCGGACGGCTGCACCGCCCTCGTGAGTAACCACCTGCTTTCCGCACTAGTTGCGTAATGTACTATTATTGTTATATATTGTAACGTGGTATTTTTGAGATTTCGACCGTTCGGCGGGTCGCTGAATATTCCAGACGAGAAGTCACTTGATTGGCGAGCCAAGAGTCATTTCTTTTGAATATTTATTAATTAATTAATTTATTAATTAATTTTGTTTTGTATTGAATCGTCTGACCGCTCACCGGATCATCGTGGGATCGAGACTGGATCACATCGTGGGATGGAGCCAGGATCTTCGTGGGATGCTCCAGTAACCTATCTTCGGGTCTCAGATGCTCTGGAGCATGAGACATTGAGCTAACGCATTTTTGAATGCCCCGCACACGATTGGATTTCACCTGAAAGACCGAGTGGCGGCGCCAGGATACGGGGTCGGAATAATTGGAACTTAGACGACGATCTCATTATCGGACTGCAAAATTCTAGACTGACTTCAGACGTTCAGAACTATTACTACTGATAAGGAGAATTATTTTGGAATCTTTTATTTTGCAAATCGATTTTTTTAATGGGATATTCGCGCTGCTCGTTAAGATATTGCGGACGTGAATTGCTTTTGGCAGTTCTCGTTAGCTCTGGTTGAGTACGGTTTCAACGTCCAATCAGAGCGGAGAGGTCTTTGTAGTGGACCAATCACAGCATCGTGTGATTGGGCAACGATGCCGCGTGGGTCAGTTGGGCGACGGACACTTCTCATTTGCACGTCCAGAGGACCGCTTTGCCAAAATTTCCATCTCGTTTTAAGAAACATCGTGAATTATCTTATTTTGTTTCATCCGGCGTATTACATTGTCGAGACCCGGAGTTGTGGTTGTAATTTGACGAACTGGGGAAGGTCTGGGAAATTTTCTGCCATCGACTGATCATCGGAGTTGGTGAGCGGTGGATTTTTAAAGTGAAAATTGTTATTTTGCTGTTTAAGGAGCAAGATTAGCGATTTCCTTTTGTCGGACGCTTGCGTCCGGGGCGATTGACGCCATATTAGTGATTGTTGAATTTCCAGGCTATTTCTTTCCCCTTGTTCGGCAGAGATTTTGTTCGGGTCAAATTTGCTAATTAATATTTTGTCTGGTTGATTTTGGATTTTGGATTAGATTTCTGTAAATAAATTCAGTGATTCTAAGTGTTAGATTTCTCTAGACTCTCGTTCCGTCGTTTTCGCCGTTGGATATTGATTTTCGGGTATTAAGACGAATTGTAATTCTCGAGGTCAGTATTATTACCTCTCGAGATATTCTATAATTTTTCTCAGCCTCTGAAAGCCTAATTTCATCGCATTTAATTTTCGGCATAATCGTTCAGAGACCCTTGAATTATCGTAATTATTGTCAGAGGGATTGTAGCGTTTTTCGGCGCTCGACCTGTTGTCTTGTGCCGGGTGACCTTTCGTCAGTTGCCGGCTATGTTGTTTTCGTTCCTCGAGGCAATCCTCTTCTCAATAACTTGTAGTGTCAGATTCTTATTCTCGCCACTTTGGGTGGATGCACTGATATCTAGGTATAATGGTAGATTCCTGCACCGCGGTTATTTAGGACTCATTGGTAATTTCGGTAGTTATTTTACTGTTTAACCTTTTTCATGGACTACGGATTAATTGACGGATTTTTGACTATCTTTTAATTGACTAGTGTTTTATCTTTTGACATATCGCGGTTAGGGAATTGTCTTGTATCGAGTCTTCTAATCGTTTATTCATTATTTTGTAATTCGACTTTGTGTTTTCTTTCCGAAGATTAAGTGCCTCGAATATCGAGAATATTTGTAATCAGATTTTCGATTTTGTTTAATTATCTGATTAAATTCATCTGTTACCCTGTATTTCTGACTTCTTTTAGTAAATCATGGGTTCCAAACCCAGTCATTTCAAAATAATTTTTCGGAGTAGCAGTTTGGAATCCAGCCGCCTCTGCGGATGATATACTGAGCTGTCGGCAGCTGTTCCTTCGTTGGTCTATCTTGTGGATTACAGATTTCGGTTTTTGTGCGTTTTGAGAGAAAACGTACTGGCGCTCAACTTTTGGTTGTAAGATTTGGTCGCCGAGGGCTGCGTATTTTCGTAGCGTTCCGCAGAGTTGCGAAATACGTCACAATACACATTTACTAGGAACATATATGCCTGCATAGATGCGAATGGGTGAGGCGCTTCTCATGTTTTATGTATGGTCGATAACAATTTTATAAGACAAGAGCAGATTATAACAACTGTTCAATGTTTATTGTATGGTCATAATAGAATAACGGGTAGCCATGAGATCATTCATGAATTTTGGTGAAACGAACGATTATTGACGGAATTGATCCGAATCTGTTTGTTCTTAAACAAGGATGATTGGAGTTGACACCGACTTGATTTTAGTCGATTTTAGACTCATTTCAAATCAAGGTAACAGGACTCCATCAATCTGGATACTTCATAAAGAAACTTCCGAAGTCGACGTTGAGTTTGAGAATTTTTCAAGAATTATATGGAGAATAAGAGGAATAATTAATGGGATGTTGGAAGAGTTCAGCAATACTAATTTATTGTCAAATCGCGACGTTTCGCTGCAAATCGCAGCTTCTTCAGGCTCTTGACAGGTTTAGTACGTAGTCACTATAAGCTCTAATAAAATGTGCGTGAAGCAACGACAACATATTAATTGATTAAAAATTGCAAAATACTCTAACAATAACATCGGTGTCTGCAGCAACACCTGTCATTAATCACAGCCATGAACTATGCATCCCACATCCCATTAATTATTCCTCTTAATATGAACAACGTCATATATGGAGAATGAAATAAATATGGACCGTTCCAATCACTTTGAATTATAATATTTCATCAGATGATTGCAGATAAATATTTAGATACATTTCGGAGTAAATAAAACGCGTGACAGATATGACGCCATCATCTCTACGACAACATATAATATATGTCATAGGCTACAGTTGATGTCAGTTAAGAGATTGATTGCTGGTGATATCTCGTATTCAAATTAATCTCAACTCAGTCGACAAGGAGACTGCCTTTGATCATATCCCAACAAAGAATTAAAACACTCTGTATTATTCTCAAGCTATTTTACTCGATCAAATCTTAGATGTTTTTAAGGTACAAATTACAATTACCGGGGATAATACAGAATCTGAATGTACCGGTCGAAATAACATCTCTCATTGTAATTAATCACTGCCGATAAACGGGAAGGGTGGGGGGTGGGAGAATAGTCTACGATTTGCACTAGTTTCAAAATTCGGAGATGCGGAGAAGGCCTCGGTTGCTCAATTGGCAGAGCACCAGTCCGGCAAACTTGAGATGTGGCGTCATATCCCACCTGAGTTCCAGTCCGTATGCGTCCGAATTTTTGAATTTGTGCATTGTGAATTATTTAATTGTTTCCCTCGTATGGAGGTTCGGAAAGTGGAAAGATAGCATATAGCATCCTGCTTACGTAGCAATTTGGTGATAAGGAAATTAAAAATAATAGAAGGAGCAATCAATAATATTTATTCGCCAATAAAGATAATCAACACCATTTTTTAACCAAAGGATTGAATGCTGTTTATTTAATTTTCATTTCCGCCGATGTGGTGTATCCTACTTTCGATGTGTTTCGTAACTTACGTAGTTTCACGACCAACGAGGACATTTCGCACAGATTTGGCAACCTCGCCAGATAGGCGGATGCCCTCCTGCAGCACGCGAAAACCAATGATGATTGCTGGACAGTTGCGTGCCACATCGAGGTAAGCATTTAAGATCGTTGTAACCAGCGTGTGTATGGCATCAGTGGGATCGTCGCTGTTCAGTGCTTCCTCGATCGCTTGTTGAATACCATCAATCAAGTCAGTACCAATGCCCAGGGTGATATTAACATGATCCCGAGCCATTTGGATAGCATCTCGAAGGCCTGGGATCGGTGGAATGAGTGGGAGAGGTGGGAGTTGAGGGATTTCGAGATCGGTGGTGTTAAGATTCAAAGGAATTTGAGGGATTAAATCCTCAACGTTTGGAATATTGAATAAGAGAGGGTTTCGTTCCTGTTTTGATGGATTTTTTGGCGGTTGACTTTGTCGAGGTCTGAATATCCCGAACGGGTCGAAGCCGGAAAAACCATTGGATGTTGACTGCTGCTGTTCTTGCTGCTGTTGCTGAGGCTGATATGTCGGAAAAAGATTGAAACCGAAGAATGGACTGTTGAATCCGGGAATTTTTGGGAAAACAATTTCCCCTTGGATTCCCGCCTATAGAAATACCGCCGCAATGATCAAATAAATCACGAGTGCTCATGCAAAAGAAATATTTGTAATAATCCACTTACCGAGTTCTTATCAACATTTACACCCCCGTAGAGACCAGCAGCCGCAGCGGCAGCGACTGTTGCCAACAAACAGAGCACTGAGCGCTGCATCGCAGATGAATACAATCCGACTGTACACTTCCCCATCAGTGTCATCGACTGCATTTATACCTAGCTTCCAATACTCCATTATTTACTTCCGCCTGGCATTGAACAATTGCAAACATCTGTGTCATCGGTCGCAAGGTGGATGGATGCCTTCCACACATGATCATATTGTAATTAATGAGCACTCGCCAATTGTACCAAATATTCTGTTCTCAACTTCACACAATGAGAATGTTATGTTTGGACATTTTCACTACTGCGTCATTCGTGGACATAATACTTCCCGCATCATTATTGAATTTCTGGGTTTTCACAGTTGATTCTTGGGAGCATATATTGTGAAAAATTTTGTCTGAATTATCCGTGTCAAATTCCGCAAATTTTTATCGTGCACCGATTCTACTGAAATTTCAAGAAATCTTGTCATCGAAAATTCAGAATTTTGTAGAAAAATCAAACAGAACTGTAAATTTCCGCTCCATTTTTGTCACTGAAAATGAACAGAAAACCAGAAAATTCTGGTAAATATATTCTTGAATTTTCAGGACAGTGACACTGAATGCGATTTAGGAGGAAACAAGCAGGGGTTCGAGCCCATTCGACAGAGGGCATGTGACCGTTACTTTTTGCGTTATTATTCCTTTTCTTTTTTTTATTTCTACCAATTCCATTGGGAGTAAGCTTCCGAATGGATCCGTAGCAATTCCCAGTCCTTGTGACAGGTATACAACCGTAACCACATGCTGCAGGAAGATATTCAACCTTTTAATGAAATAGATTTGTACAAAAGGTTAAATATCTGCGAAACTGCTCGGCCGATTACGCCTATCCAAAATACGAACCTTCAACATTGTAAGAGCTATAATCACACCAAATTTCAAAATACTATTTTCATTTTTTCTCAAAATATCGTGCGTACAAGAATGAAAAAATTTTAAAAACGAAAAAACGGGAATATCTCTGATTTTTTGTATGGACGGGTATACATATTTTGATTGATCTAGATGGTGGCCACCGAGGCAAGTATTTTGAAAAAAAAAGATTGAAATCCGTTCAGCAGTTCAAGAGAAATTTGAAGAAATATATTTACACAAAAGATTGAATAACTCAAGAACCGCTCGGCCAATTACCCCCATCCACAATATCAACTTTTTATGTGATAAAAGCTTGAAGTATACATAATTTCAACTCCCTATCTCCATTTTTTATCAAGTTATCGTGTAAACAAGATTTTTCATAAAAAAACGAAAAAACGGCAATATCTTCAAATTTTGTCTGAACGAGTATATATATTTTGATTGATCTAGATAGAGGCCATCGAGGCGAGTATTTTAAAAAAAGAAATATTTAAATCGGTGGAGGAGATTTTAAGATATTGAGGAATAATGAATTTTGAAGAAGTTGTTATATCTTAGGAACTACTGAACCGATCGGGCTAAAACTGCGTACCAAACTGAAGTTTAATCATAACTACCATAAGCCAAAATTTCAGACTTTTATCTGCAAATTTCACCGTATTTATAATATGTTGAATTTTCTAAAAAGTGATCACCAAAAACCGAAGTTATCATACGCATACATACAGACATGACCCTAAAAACATCATTTCTTCACGTGTCATCACATTCTAGACCATTTTCCACCAAAATTAGAAAATCAAAAAATCGCTCAAATACAAGGCTTTCATTCGGAAGCAAAAAGGGATAAATAAATGGCGAAAAAAGATTTAGAAAAGGATAGGAATAATAAAAGAAAAGGAAGGACATTACAAAAAAGCGAAAATCAAGAAATAAAAAAAGGTTAAAAAAGGGATAAATAAATCAACAAAGATTTAAAAAAAGATATGAAAAATATAAACAAGTTAATATCTCCATTTTTGCGGATGCTAGAGTGCAAACAACGATTTTAGGTCAAAAAGAGAAAAATCGAAATATCTCGAAAAATTTCTATGAACGGGTATACATATTATGATTGATTGCGATAGAGGGCATCAAGACGAATATTTTGAAAAAAAAAAGAAATCGGTTGGGTAGTTTTCGAGATATTTAGGAAAAAGCGCAAAGAAATAAATGGCTATTTCTCAAAAACTAATTAATTTTCCCGTTTATTCGTTAATTTTAAGAAAAAGTGACTACCGAGTGGACACTATCACATATAGACATGGTCCCCAAACTTCGTATTTTTCCGTTTCAGACCATTCTGGATCGTTTCCAAGCAAAATTGAATGATCAACCGAGCCCGAAGGGCGAGGGTTGATCTAAATTATACGAGTGTCTCGCCCGAGAGATTACGAAGTGTAGTAACGTTAGTTATGCCGATTATATCACAAGTTTTAGAGCTAAAAGTAAACTAAATTTGAAAATCCCCGTCACGAGGTTAGGTGGCGCCCCGTGGAGCTCCCTTTCTTCATTGAGTTTAAAGCTTTGTGAAAAACAAAAAATTGTATTTCTCTTGATAAAATTAAGGGTCAGAAAAAAGAGTGGATTCTCACTATTTTTCCGGGCATTGGAACAATTGGGTGGGTAACACTCGTATAATTTAGATCAACCCTCGCCCTTCGGGCTCGGTTGATCATTCAATTATACTTCGTGTCTCGCCCTTCGAGATTACGAAGTGCAGAGCTTTAGAGCCCTCACAATTTTTTATTTTTTAGTTTTTCCCAATTTTAGTTTTTTATTTTTCAATTCTTTTAATTTTGAACATAATTAAAAAGTTAAGGTTCTCCGTTAAGGATGACGGCTTCCGCGAAGTTAGTTTTTTGAGTAACAATTGGTCTCTGATAAAAGTCAGCGAATACGCGTGACGATTCGCTCCAGCCAGCTGTTTTTCTGATTTCGTCTATGTTCACGCCCCATTTCGCGGCTTTGGACGTTGCGGCATGTCTTGTGCTGTGGGCTGTGAACTTTCCGTCTACTCCACAGATTTGGAGGCACGTTTTTATCCATCTTCCGATGGTGTCTCTCTTAACCGCCTTATGAGGCTTATGAAATGAAATCAGTAGGCTTTGCTCATTAGCCCTCAACTCTTTAGTGGTTTTTAGATAATGAGACAAAGTGTGTGCAATGCAGAGTTCCGGTTTATTGATGAAGCTGGGTAGTTTTAAGACTGGTTTAGCCTTTCCCGATTTTGACGTTTTGATATTATCAGAGATTTTAATTTCCATGCCATCTCTTGTTTTGGAGATGTTCCCCAGTTTGATGGTTTTTAGAGTCTGGATTCTGTGAGCTGTTCCTAAGGCCAGCAACATGATGAGTTTAAGTGATAATTTTTTTTAATCAAGGGATTCCAGAGGATACCATTTAGCCAACTGTTCTAACACCAGGTTCACATCCCATGTGGTGTCTTACCTGGGCTTGCTCGGTCTTTTCTTGGCACAGCCTTTTACAAATCTTGAGATCAGGGCGTCTTTCCCTAAGTCATTTGACGACATGAGGGATAAGGCAGCCCTTGTCGAGTTAATTAACCCATGGCCAGTGCCGTCGTTGAATCTTGACGATAAGAAGGATAAAACCTTGGTTTTTGAGACAGCTAGAGGGTCCTCAAGTTTCCCTAGGTTCCATTCGCACCATAGTTTTAGTGGCTTGTTGTATTGTTTGATGGTGGAGTCTTGAAGTGAAGAGATCATTGTATCTATTACTTCTTCTGGCGTATTTTTCCTTAAGAAAGCTGCCCGGATATTTTCGCGGCAACCAGGGTAAGCCTGGATGCCAGAGGATGAGTTGTTGATCTGCAAGGGGACATTAATAAGTTAGAGTTAGATTTGAATAATAATTCTTTGCCCATAATCATTTTTTGAAACATGGGGAAACAGTTTTGGGCTGTCCAAAGGGGTACAACCACTACACCTGATGCTCTATCATTTTTTATCTTCTGTAGAACCTTGGATATCATTGCGAACGGGGGGAAGGCATAAAAGTCTCTGTTTGCCCAATTGATGGTAAATGCATCAGAGTAACTGGCTTCTGGGTCTCGTCCCCAGGCACAAAAAATCTCACATTTAGAATTAACTCTTGAGGCAAATAGATCCACGTCGGGAACACCGAACACAGGTTCTATTTTCTGGAAAGCACAGTCTGATAGCTCCCATTCAGTGTCATCGGTTATCTTTCTGGATAGGGCATCTACTTCCACATTTGCTTTCGACGGGATATAGGCTGCGAGGACCCAGATTTCCTGGTTTTCGCACCAGTCCCAGAGTTCTTTTGCGAGCAAGTGGAAAGATTTAAATTTCACCCCGCCCATTTTATTAATGTAAGCTACTGCTGTGGTATTGTCTACTCTGAGTAAAACCTCACACTTTGTTATATCGTGTGCGAAGGCTTTGAGGGCCAGAAGGGCCGCCTTTAGTTCTAGGTGGTTAATATCTAAATCTCGTTCTGCCAAATTCCATTGTCCGTTGGATCCCTGCCCATCGTAATAGGTTCCCCACCCCGTCAAGCATGCATCCGAGAATATTTCTCGTTCGTATTGGAATTTCCTAATTTTTCTCATCACGTTAGGGACCTTGAGTTTCCACCAGAGTAAGTCGGCTTTTATGTATTTGGGGATCGTCATTGACGCTTCATAGTTCATCTCATTGGCCTGTAAGGCTCTCCCCTTGGCTCTTTCTAATGATTTACAGTACAGAGGACTATATTCGACTCCTGGACAGCTAGCCACTAGAGTTCCAATAATTTTGGCGAAATCCTGGATTTTGCATTTCTTTATTTGACCTAGGTTATTGAGAAGAGCTATTAAGGAGGTTTTCTTCTCCTCGGGTAGTTCAATTGACATTTTTGATGAGTCGATTATGAAACCCAGATATTTACAGCGCTGTGTGGGGAAGAGATTTGATTTCTCTGAGTTAATTATGAACCCCAGGTTCTCGAGGAGGTTACAAGTAGTTTCTAAGTTTGTTCGACAGTCTTTTTCAGATGCTCCTAGTACCAGATGTCATCAAGGTAAATGATGGATAAATTCCCTCGAGATCTGAGCCAGTTTATAACAGGCTTTAACAGCTTAGTGAAGACGAGAGGACTAGTGGCTAATCCAAAGGGTAA